AAAAGTCAGGCTCTGGTGGCTGCTCTAATGGGGTGCACATCCTGTCCACCCCCTTGATTGTTTTCCAACTACCTGCTGGGAAAGAAAGCAATTTCCGACCACAGTACCCTATTTCTCCAAAACTTCTACACAGTGCGGCTCCTCCCAAGCACCCCATTGCCACAGAAATAAAATCCAGCATATGAAAGTGGCACTGTCTATGACACTCTGTACCAGTGTGTTGTATACTATCGAGCTTCTTCCTGTAATTGTTTGTGTGTGTGTGTGAACCTCTTCCCCAGAGCAGTATCAATTCTTTTAAATCCGAGAGCATTTTAAGTATTCCCTCCTCCAAGACTTTCCATTGAACTCGGCAAACAGAAGGGGTTTAATAAATGTGTTGATGCGACTTGAGGCAAGCATTGCTTTAGTGAAATTTGATTGCGTTTTTAATGATTAAAAAATAAAGAAAACAATTGTCTGGCAGACATCTCACTAAAACAATGGTTAATAATTATGGTGGTAATGATTTGAATGGCAGCCTTGACACCCTGAGGCAACCAAAGGGACTCATCGATTCTCCTCCAACTGCTGCTTATGTGGATACAAAAGAATCATCCACCAGACTTTGAGCATTAGGGACATTGTGTATCACAGAGCAGCTGGTTGGCTAAATAAGGCTGTCAGCTGTCCCTGATACCAACCAACCCCCCTGAAGCTGAAGAGTGGCTAGAAAGGACTGTCCCCAACCTTCAGAGGTAGAAATCGGGTGATGTTCTGTTTTACACTGGGAGCTACTGAGCTATGTGCTTAATGTCTTTTTGTGCAGAAAATGGAATGAGAGGCCACCTGGGTGACCACTGCTGCTCCCGGGAATCTAGCTGGGATATGTTTTGGTGGTGGGGCAAGAGGAGGCCTATCCCAGGAGAGACATTCCAAAGCAGCCTGCCTAGATTTGATTACCCCCTCTCTGAGATAACCTTAAGCCCTTTCAGTGTTTAATCATTTTAAAGGTTTCCCTTTTAACTTTTCCAAGCATTTTAATTTGGGTGTTGAGCTCACCTTATCTGTATGTAAGGAGTTTCTTGGGTAGAGAGGGAGGGGATAATACATGTTAGAATGTTTTGAACAGAGGAAATGCACATTCGCTATATCACCTAAGTTAATCTTCATAACAACCTCAGAAAGGGTAAAGGTTATGATCTCCCTTTTTGAGATGAGTAAACAAAGGGAGAGAGGCATGGTAAGCACTCTGCCCAGAGTTACATGTGACACTGCTCTCTCTCGTTTGTCTCTCTCCCTTTTGCTCATTTTCATCCTCTTTTCTTTTTACCCTATAATATCCAAGTTGTTATAGTTTCCCCTTTACAGATAAGTAAACTTACAAAAATCACTTTTGTTACCTTTATAGATGAGAAAAGTGAGGCTTGGTCACAAGCTCAGGGAGAGGCTGTGGTCGGACTGAAGTCTCCCTAGCTCCAATGCCAGTGAAAAAATTCACACACTTCCTCTCTCAATGCATAAAAAAAATTTCCCTTTCCCTCACCTCTGTCTGAATGTTACATCTACTTTTATCTTCCTCCCCACACAACATCAAGGTCCTACTACATAGTAGGTATTGATGTGATCATATCTTAAAAAGTTTGTGTAGATACAATTGTATCCTTATTGTAACTTTTCAATCAGCGAGTGCTGTTTTTGCCCCATGGTGGTAGGTCAAGCAGAGGCATGAGACAGTGCTGTCTCCTGGTGCCCCTGACGGTTGGCTTAGAAGTCTATGTGCCCACCTACTCACGGTCTGTGCTTTGTGTAGGGCTAGATGCATCTTTCAACTGTAGGAAACATAACAGCAAAGGATCCCACAGTAAACCAAGGCCCAAGATAATGTCAATGTAAGTTAAGTGCCCTTCTCTGTGTTGTAGTCTTATTTTGGTGCGTATCATTTACTATATTTTATTGAACTTGTCTGTTATATAGCTGTCTTCCTGGTGGGTAATAACTCCTTCCTAGACTATAAGCTCAATGAGGGGAGGGACCATATGAGTCTTCTTTACTGCTGGCTCCTTTGCCTGGCACATAGTAGGTACTCAGAAAATGGTTGTTAAAAGAATAAACAGAATCAGTGAATAAATAAGTGGCTGAATGAGTAAATAAACCTCTCAGGGTCAGGAACCATATCTTCCATCAGTGTCTGAAAAAGCAGCCAGCATAAAAGGGTGTTGTGTAAACATATGTGAATGAAACTATTGAACTAACCTTGGAGTTGATCTGATATATTAGAGGTTCTTAGCATCATTAAGTTCCTATTTTTGGCTTATCAGTCATCGGCTGGTTGTAGTTTCTGAGTATTATCTCTTTCGTCTTAGTGTCTCTGAATACGTGCTTTTATTGTAATTAAGATTCTTAAGTTGTTAATACTTCTGGCCAATGGAATGCAAGCTCACATCTGTTGCATGGCCAGGCAACACTAGCAACACTGCATTATTCCAAGCCTGGGCCATTCTACTTTCAGGCTTTTGTGCTTCGCATTGTTTGCTCTGCTTCTCATAATTCTCCCTTATGTTTTCTTCTTTGCTCCTCAACTCAGAGAATTCCAACTCATCTTTCAAGGCCAAGATTAAACATCGTTTCCTCCCAGAAGCCTTTCTCAATCCTACTTTTCCTCTTTGCCGTGATTCTTCATCACTTCATGGGTCTAGTTATCTCTCCCATGATGCTTTGTTCGTATTCTTACAAAATGTGTCAGTAGATATTTGTTTCTACACGATAGTTTCCTCTTCTATCACGTTAGCTTGGAGAAAATGAAACTTGTCCTGAGTATATTGGCGTGTCTGTATTAGTCAGGGTTCTCTAGAGACAGAAGTAATAGGATAGAGAGATAGGGGGATTGGCTCATGTGATTATGGAGGCTGAGAAGTTCCTCAGTAGACCATCGGGAAGCCTGGAGACCCAGGGATGCCAGTAGCATGGAGGGCCTCAGAACCAGGGAAGCCCTTGGCGCACCTCTCACTCTGAGGCTGAAGACCTGAGAAGCCAGGAGGCCACTGGTGCAAGTCTCAGAGTTCCAAGGCTGGAGAACCTGGAGTTCTGATGGCCAAGGACGGGAATAAGAAGGGTGTCTCATCTCCAGAGGACAAGGCAAGAGAGCCCCCTCCTTGCCTTTTTGCTCTATCAAGACAACCAGCCTTTTAGATGGTGCCCACCCACATTGAAGGAGGATCCCCCCAATTCAGTCCACTAACTCACATGCCGATATCCTCTGGAAATACCCTCAGAGACATACCCAGAAATAATGCTTTACCACCTATCTCTTAATCCAGGCAGGTTTTTACCTAAAATTAACCATCACAATCACCAAAGTCAAACATAGTGCCTGCTGGAGACCTACATGTGTCGAATCAATCAAAAAAAACTCAGTGTGGTGTGGAGAATACAGAGTCACTTCAGCCTAGGTCCGAGTTATAGCTCAAGCCACTTATTACCTGTTAACCTTGCACACATTATTTAACCTTTCTGAGTCCTTGTTTTCTAAGGACTCATTTGTAAAGCAAGGTTGATAAAAATAATAGAAATTAACTTTTGAAAATGGCTTGAGAATTTAATAAGTTAACACCTTTACAGTTGTGTAGAACAGTGCCAGAGGCACAGCAGGCGCACAATAAATATTAGCCCTTATTATAATAATTGTCTTACATAGCGAGATTGGTCTCCTAGAAGGGCAGTGAAAATATTATCAAAAGAATCACCAGTTGCTGGTCCGGAGCCTTGAAGGAGCACCTTGAGTTGAAGAAGCGTCAACAATTTTGATTGACGTTAGATGCACAGGTCTATGCCTATTGGCTAGCCCTTAATTTGCTTGTTCTTTGCATTTCATTGGCGATAAAATGCTAATGGACCCATGTCTCTGACACCTAGCTCAAAGCCCAGCTTCCTAGGATGCTGTTTCAACTTGACCCAGCTAAATAGGCATAGGAGCCCCAGTCATCAAATAAAGCAGTCGAGCAACGAAGGTCTGTCTGTGCTGTCTGGTCAAGGGTTAGATTTGGATAGTTAGGGAGCTGGAAGATACTGGTATGGGATTGTGGGGGTGGAGAGATGGATTTGGCTTAGGGGAACAGAAGGAAGTCTCCAGCAGCAGGAAATAATTTTTTTTTTACTAGCCTGTGCTTTGATTAGGGGTAAATATTAGAAGCAGAAACTGCCTCAAGGTAGAGGGGTAATAGGACCAAGGGTTTTAGGAACGGGGTATCCTGCCACAGAGAAGACTATGTGATCTGCTACGAGTTTTCATCAAATGAATAACAAGATGCACAACATTCTCTACTCCTCCCTCTGCCGTTGCTGCTGGAGACCATTCAGGTAGGGCGCCCTTGAAAGCACTAGAGAAAGCTGGGTTCCGTGTTACATTGTAAATCGCAGCAGGCTTGTTTCTTTGAGAGCACATACTCTTTTGGGTCCTGAGAGGGCCCCTTTGTAACTTGCCTGCCTCTCCTCTTTGAGAGCAGATAACATACATGCAGTGGGCATATACCACGCACCAAGACCTCACTATGCTAGTGGATTGGCTTTCGATTGCTGCCATAACAAATTACTCCAAATTTAGGGGCTTAAAACAACACCCATTTATTATCTCACAGTTCTGTAGGTCAGAAGTCCAGTAGACTCAGCTGGTTTCTCTGTTTCAAGTCTCACAAGACTGAATCAGGCATTCACTGAGCTGCTTTCCCTTCCCGAGGCTCTAGGGGAGAGTCCATTTCCAGGTTAATCCAAGTAGTTGGCAGAAATCAATGTCTGTAGGACTGAGGTCTGTTTCCTTGCTGGCTGCCATCTGGGCGCCTCCTTTGGTATTTAGAGGCCTCTTTTGAGTCACTGTAGGTAGTCCCTGCACACCTCAGAACTAGGAGTGGCATATTAAATTCTTCGGACACGGGATATCTTCTGTCTCTGCTTCTTGTGCCTCATCTCTGACCAACTCTTCTGCCTTCCACTTCTGCCTTTACGTGCTCAAGTGATTAGATGGGCCCCCTTGGTAATCCAAGATAATCTTCCTATTTTAAGGTCGGTAATCTCAATCACATCCACACTGAGACATCTCTTTGCCATGTAAAGTAACATATTCACAAGTTTGCAGAGATTGGGGCTTGGAACTCTTTGGGGGACATTATTCTACCTACAACAGCTAGGCTTTTTTGTTTGTTTGTTTTGTTTTTTTCATATTTTTCTTCCTTAATCCACACAAGAGCCTCGTAAAGGAAGCATTGTTATACCCATCATATGTGTATACAAGCTGGAGTTCAGCGAGGTTCCTATTACCGCTGATAAATGGGGAATCTGGGGTTTGAATCCTGCTTCAGAGCTCACATTCCTTCCTCTGCCAGAGAGGGAGGGGTGGAAGCAAAGCCATCGTGTGACCCGCCACTCTCATTGCATTTCCCACCATTGGTTGCGCTAGAGCTGCTTCTCAATTTAGCAAGGTTGTCACTGTGTCCATCAAAGATGTCTAACTCTCCTCCTGGGTACATGGCGTGTGTGTCTGCTGGGTCTCAGCAGGAAACAGATGGCACACTCAAGTGAAGTTATTGAGGAGAGATTAGTAAAAGGACTGTCTGCAAGGTTGTGAGTGGGGCAATGGGAAACCAACAAGGGATGGTGGAGCACGTTGGCTAAGAACAGCTGTTGCACCCCGTTCCTAGAGGAGTACAGGGAAGAAGTGTTACCAGAACCCCAAGAGAAAGGAGAAACTAAAGGAGGGGCTGCCTGGCTGGAGCTGTGGCCATCAATAGTGGAACACCGCTACAACCAGCCTGGCAGGGAGGTAGGTGGCAAAGTACATGACTTCACTCTTTTCCCTCCCTCTGAACCCCCTCTATTGGCAAATCTTAACCAGAAGCCAGAGGAAAGGGGAGTCTGTTTATACAATTCTTGAATTTTAACTTTCCAGGCTCAGAGCAGAGTATAGGAAAGTAGAGAGTGGATCTGAGAGAGATTATCCAGCACTGTCAGACTGTCCTTCCCCATGCCATTGAAATCAGGTATGGCAATGGGACTTGTTTGGGCCAGTGTGTTCGTTTCCTGGGGAGAGCATAGCAAATTACCGTAAACAGGAGGCTTAAGACAAGAGAAGTTCATTCTCTCACTATTCTGAGGGCCATGCTCGCTCCGAAGGCACCTGAGAAGAATCCTTCCTTCCTAGCCTGGCAGCCCTTGGCATTACTAAACTTGAGCAGTATCACACCAGTCTCTGCCACTGTCTTCACAGGGTCTTCTCTGTCTGTGTGTGCTTGCCTCTTCTTAAAAGGACATCCATCATTAGATTTAGGGGCCAATGTAGGTATCATCTTGAGATTCTTTGCTACATATACCTGCAAAGACCCTATTTCCAAATAAAGATCATGTTCTGAAGTTTGGGGTGGGCATGAATTTGTAGAGGGGGTAGGGTGGATAACATTCAACTCCCGATAACCATGTACATCTGGACCAAAGTTTCTAGGCCTAGCATGCAATTTTTTCTTTTTTTCTTTCCCTCTGCCATGGCAATCAGCAATGCTCAGACAGCAGCTGCCCCCTCAGCCTAGGTCCTGGAGTGAAGATAAGGCAGAGCAGAGCCCCGGCTGACCTTCGAAGGAAACATAATTTAAACAGAAGTAAATGCCTCATCCCTCCTGAAGGATACAATGTACGGTAGTTAATGACCACAGCCCATCCCTTCAAAGATATTGCCAGCAGCCCCTTAACTCCCTACTTCCTTATTTTCACACAAACACCTTCGAATTGACCAAAAGCTCTCTACAGTCTCATTGCTTCTTTTCATCCCAGCTCCATTGGCAACATTTTACTGCACCGTAATTCCTCTTTGGGGCCAATGTATAGAAAGAAATAGATCTCCAAAGAGTGCCTTTTGTATCCTTGGAGGGACAAGTTTTGTAGGAAAAGAAAATGAAGGCTTGAGCACATGGGTGTTCCCTGAAATGAGCTGCAGAGTAGCTGTCTGCCTTTCAGACTGACAATTTCAAATGAATCCTCCACCAGAAGCAGCCAGGAATGTCTGCTGAGAAAACGGTTTTCTGCCCACACAGGGCTCTCTAGGTACACCCTTCCCTGCCCTGCTGTGACCACGTGTGCAAAACCGCTTGAGAAACTGTGCCTCATGATGTTTGTTTATTGATGCTACTACATGAGCTCTCTGAGCCCTTCTGCCAATCTTCTTTTCTCTAATACTGATCTCATTGCTGTGGGTGTGGGCCAATGGACTCAGACTCTCTTTAGCGGGGATTTAAAAGTGAAATGGATAAACCATGTTTGAACTGTGAGACGACAGACAGACGTGTCTGGAATCATGAGAAAGGCTGCCTGATTCCAGGCGCCATCCCCCTCACTGATCTATCTTGAACAGCCCCTGGGGTTTGACCGCTCCCACATGCCAACTCCTGCTGCAGAAGCTGCATCTTCCCTCATCTCTTCCCCAGCCACAGGGCCTGGGAACCACAATGGTGGCAGGAAAGAAAAAAGTTAGACTCACACTGAGCTTAAAGGGGTGGTTCTCAAAGGGTGCTACTTGAGTTTACAGCACCTGCAGCACCCGGAAACTTGGAAATGCAAATTCTTGGGTCCAGCCCTAAACCTACTGCAGGAGACACATTGGAGTGTGGCCCAGCTATCTGTGTTTTATTGAGTTTTCCAGGTGATTCTGGGGCATGCTAAAGTTTGAGAGCCACTGGCTTAGTGTCTGACCTCAGAAGACAAGTGGCCTGCTGGGACATGATTTATCTTGGTAAAAGTATCGTCAGTTCCTCTGTCCCCTTTGCTTGGTCGGGAGGGATCCACCTGTAGTAGAGTGGAGAATCCCTGTGAACCCAAGTTGCATCCTGGCCTCCTGGGTGTTTTGTGTTAGCTGCAGGTCACAGGTGCTAGTCGGGGCTGTGCAGCACCCAGGAGACAGAAGCAAGTCAGCTGCAAGTGAAGCCTCTCATGTGGACAGCAGGGTCTCTCACATCTCCTGTTAAAGCAGCACATGTTCTACCTTTGTTCAGATAGAAGCCAATGTGTACTTCAAAGTGGCTTGAGGATCTCTTTACTTCTATATTCGGTGAGTTTAGAAATACTTTAAGAAACTGGTTTCACTGTCGTGTACAAAATGCCTTTTTTTGTATGCGTCCATCAAAGTACTTTGTATCTGACATCTGTGCTAGTCTCTTGTGAGTTTTCATTTACAAGATGCCATTTTGATAAAATGCAGAAAGTGTCTATATGGTTACACAATTGTGTCTCTTTGTCTAGAGAATGAAGGAAATGAAACTAGGGGATCCCCTGGAGGAATGACAGATCAATAACCATTTCACCAGGTGGCAAATTCAGTGGGTCCTACGTGGCAGTGTGTGGAGTGGGGGAGAAATGAGTCATATTCTATCGTAATTCCAAAGAAAATGGTACGTTCATTTGTGATGGCCACCTGGTCAAGACCACCTGGAGCTGTTCCTGGTACACTAAGGTAAAGAGCTCATCCTAACCTGTCCTGTCTTTGAAAGGTAAGCAGATTCTCTACGCAGGGCTTACATAAGTGCTGCATTCCCTGGAGACAGAACAAGGCTCTTGCTAGGCAGATCAGTCAGACCTAACCGATAAATCCTTGGTAGTTTGGATGATTCTCTTAATTTTGTCTGATAGTACTGAATTGCCTGAGAAAGTCCACTGGTTTCTTGCACAGCACAGTCTGAGAATCGAGATTATTTTTTGTCTTTTTAAAGTGAAAAAGTTGTGCTTCTTAATCTTTTTCTCCTCCCCACCTTCAGAGCTCTCACTGTGTTTTGGAGTATGGTAAGTATGGCCCCAGAAGGCCAGTAGAATCCTGTGATTTGTGCTCTGATAAACCGCATCCTGCCTGCCTTTTGGGGATCTGTTAGTCCATTTTCACACGGCTACAAAGACATACCCAAGACTGGGTAATTTATAAAGAAAAGAGGTTTAATTAACTCACAGTTCTGCATGGCTGGGGAGGCCTCAGGAAACTTAACATCATGGCAGAAAGGGAAGAGGCACATCTAACATGGCAAGAGAGAGAATGGTGAGTAGCAAAGAGGGAAGAGCCTCTTATAAAACTATCAAATCTTGTGAGAACAAACTCACTATCATGAGAACATCATGTGGGAACCACCCGCATGGCCAAATCACCTCCCACCAGGTTTCTCCTTAGACGTGGGAATTATGGGGCTTACGGTTCAGGATCAGATCTGGGTGGGACACAGCCAAACTGTATCAGGGTCTGCTCCTTATGCCTATCTGGATTCCTTTTTCTTCCAAGAAGTGCTTTGTACTAGTGGCACTGTAAGCTAGACAAAAAGGTATCAAAGTGCCAAGGGAAAGAATTCATAGTATATATGTAGTGAACATAAGTGACGTAAGTGACAGCCTTTTTCCATGGAAGTTAAGGTGTTCCCAGTGTCCCTAATTGGCCCCTGCATATGTGTGTGCATGCACATTCCGAGGGGGACATACCCATGGCTGCACCCACCCTGCAGAGACAGAGTAGACAGCTGTCCATGGGCTGTGATTGGATTTTACTTCAGGGACCTCTTGATGACTACCCCAGCTGGTCCAGGCCAAGTGCCTGCTGGAAATTCCCATATCACTTACCTCTTTGGAGTTAGGCATTGAAAGGTGTTTAAATATTTTCCATGAGGTAGAGACATTATTATTTATTACTATTTGGGCTTTAATGAGTCTATCAACTTAGAAGAGAATGTGCCAGGCTTCCTCTTCTGGTAATAATGACGGGTGGAAGAGGAAACAGTAAGTTCTGAAATGTTGTAGAAACGAAAACCACAGACTCAAGGAATAGGATGAGGACCCTGGTGATGTGGTAAGATATGAAATGAAAAAAGGGAAGTGGGAAAATGGAAGATAAAATACCTCCATAAGTCCACAGGTCATTTCACAAGTTGTTTCTGCCTGTGGTTCCTAGTGACTGCCATAGGCAAACTGTCTGTGGATATCCTCGCTCAGACACTGCTACGTTCTGCTACAGCACTGTTGCTTCAAAGGATGTATTCATTTATTAAATACCTGGAGCACGCCTATACACTGTGGGTATATCAGGAAAACAAAACCTCATTTATTGTGTCTACTGGCTCTCCTCATCTCCCCACTAAAATGCAAGCTCCCTCATGAGGAAAATGTGGTATGTTAAGTGGTGTTAGATGCTATGGAGAGAAGTAAGGCAGTGAGTGTGATGCTGTTTTAAATAAGGTGGTCAGAGAAAGCTCACTAAAAGAGAGTATTTGAGTGTAAAGGGAGTAAAGGGTGAGCAAGCCAGGCAGATGTCAATGTAGAGATCATTTCAGGCGGAGGGAAAGGTCCATACAAGGCCGGGCAACCGGAGCATGCCTGGCTTACAGAGGAAGATCAAGGGGTGGGGGAGTGGCCAGCGTGGCCAGACCAAAGTGAGAAACAGGAGAACAGCGCAGATGAGATCAGACAGGTCATGGGGTGGGGAGGGGGGGAAGGCGGGGATGGAATTTAATAGGTTATTCCAGGGGTTAGCAAACATTTTCTGTAAAGGGCAAAAGGTGGTAAATATTTGTTCAGTTCCTAAGGTCTATGTTTCAACTCCGTGACTTTGTCATTATACCATGAAAGAGCCACAGATAAGGTAAATTAATGAGTTGGGCTGTTTCAATACAACTTTATTTACCAAAGCAGTTTACAGGACAGATTTTGCCCATGCTGACCCTTAGGCTATTGCAATAATCTGGAGCAGAGATGAAGGTATCTTGGATCAGAATTGTAACAGTAGCGGGAGCAAGAAGGGGTCAGATATTGGCTATGTTTTGAAGGTAGAGCCAGCAGGATTTGCTGTCAGACCAAATACTCCACAGTTTTTGGTCTGAGCAACTGGAGTCAGACTGCTGAAATGAGGAAAACCGACAGAGGAGGTAGGTAGGAGGAGGGGCATAAGGAATCCATCTGGGACATGAAAATTTGAGATTCCTTTAGGATAAAGGAATTGGATTCAATGTTCCTTAACTCCTCTTCTAGCTCTCATATTCCATGACTCTGCAACTGTGAGAGAATGACGTCTACCCCAGTGGCTTCTGCTGTGATCGTGTTCTTCAGGGAGACCTTCCACACTGTGTTACTCCATCCTCCCAAATGCAAGTGGTGATTATGTTGGCTAGAGATAAGTTGCTGGAAGGAAGAAATACTGAAAGGGAGGCAACTGCCAGCTGCAACTAGCAGGGGGACTCGGAAGAGTGTCATAAACGGTATATGTGCCGGAGGAGGCTTTGAGGGCTGGAGGCAAATCCCTGTGTCTCTTAGTTTCCGGGAGGTTGCTAATAATGGAGTGTTGTCAGCAGAACGGGTTAATGTTTAACAGGTTTTCAGAGAAAAGCAATGCCGCTTCTTAAACTTCACATCCACTCCATGCTCAAAATGGCCACACTTCAGATGTGCTCACCCTCCATAGAGGTGCTTTGGAGCCCTACACAGATTCTGATGGACTCTATACGCCTGTAGGACACAGCCATGGTCTTTGTCACTAGCTTCTCCGGGCAATTTCCTCTGTCTTTGCTCTCATCTCTCATCGCTGGGATATATGTCTTCTGTCTGCCCAAATTCGTCCCACTCAAAAGGTGGCTCTGTGCCAGTGGGATTGTTTGCTATATGGAGAGCCTGCAAACCACTTTGGGAGTGAGCTGATAGCAATATATTTAAAATATGAGCATTTATCAGAAGCAGCAGATGGAGGCAGCAGAGTGGAGCTCCCAGAACTGAGGGCAGGGAGTGTTTCATTCAACTGTAAAGGCGCACCATCTAGACTCAGCTGGCACCAGCTCATGAAACCAGTGAAGAGAAGGAGGGAAAAAAAGGCCACCTTTGTGCTAGGTTCGGAAGGTCACAGCGTTCCCTGACCTTGAGTCCTCGGTGCCTCAAAGACAGCATTCACTCTACGACTAGAAAAAACAAAAACCTTCCCCGTTGCTCTCTTTAATATTTTTTAACTTCCTTAAAGCTTAGTAAATTGAAGAAAAATTCTGAAGCTCAGAACAAATGGAAAAATAAGCCATTTCATCTACGTATGCATGCATTAATTCATTCAACAAATGTTTGTTACATGGATCAGGCATGGCAGAATCTATGGAATACTCTGGAGCAGAGAACAATGAGGCAGAAAGATATGTTATTGTAATTATTAAAGATTAAACATGTTGAAAGTATTTTAATTTTCATTTTTTACCACCATCTCCTAACCCACCCCTAAAAGTAAAAATATATTTACAGCCTTTTCTACTTACTATTTGAACTAAAAGAAGCATATGTTTTAGTGGTAATTTCCTCAGGATACAAGTAGCAAACTCAATGCATTAGTGGGAAAAGGACAACAAGATTAATTTCAAATCACCTGTTTAAGAAGAATACTGTGATGGTGGCATCCATTTGCAAAAGTCAGATTTAACACCTGATATGAGGTCTGCAAAAAGGGCCCCAAGTCACCCCACAGAGGGCTTATACATTACACCTATAACAACAAACCTTTGGGGAAATGCCTGCCTTCAGTTATTTTTGAGAGACTTTGAAAAGTGACGTTAGTGAATAAATCACATATTTCTTCATATTGCCTTTATATGAGAGTTTCAAAATATGAATCTTTGTGCCATTATATATGGAAGGTGTGGATCTTTGGAACTGTGTAGAGCTGTTTTCTGAAAAATTCTCCCCAAATCCCCTGGTCAGAATTAATCACTCCTTCCCTTGGTTCCACCAGGGAGGTATAAAGTCACATTTAACGATACCAAGTAATGTATGCAGCTGTTTCTCATGATGCATTGTGAATTTGCCGAAAGAATCTGTAGCTCAGTACCTGGCACACAATTGACACTTGAGTATGTTAAATACAAGAGCAGAGATTGCAGAAATTGTTGAAGTTATAATGAAGAAAAAAAAAAGGTTACCAAATGTCCATTTTTATCATACTATCTTCGGGGTAAAATAGATATATTGGAAACCTTCCACTTTAATGGATGACCATAGCTTATCTACATGCTCTCACAGTTGTTTTTAATTTTTAAAGTCATTTATTCCACAATTTTTGTTAAACATTTACTCAGTTTTAGATTGTGTGATTCACTGTGGGGTACAAAAGTAATTAAGAAGCATTCCTGATGTAGTGAGTAAAGTTAAGAAGAGAAGCTCGCTTTTTTTTTTTTTTCCCTAAACGGGTTTGCTAACAGAACACGGGGGTCATGAAAACCACCCCTAAAAGCCAAAATGGGAAAGGAAAAGACTCATATCAACATTGTCGTCATTGGACATGTAGATTCGGGCAAGTCCACCATTACTGGTCACCTAATCTACAAATGCAGTGGCATCGACAAAAGATCCATTGAAAAAATGGAGAAGGAGGCTGCTGAGATGGAAAAGGGCTTCTTCAAGTATGCCTGGGTGTTGGATGAACTGAAAGCTGAGCATGAACATGGCATCCCCATTGATAGCTCCTTGTGGAAATTTGAGACCAGCAAGTACTACATGACTATCATTGATGCCCAGGACACAGAGACTTCATCACAAACGTGACTCCAGGGACATCTCATGCTGACTGCGCTGTCTTGATTGTTGCTGCTGGTGTTGGTGAATTTGAAGCTGGTATCTCCAAGAATGGACAGACCCGAGAACACACCCTTCTGGCCTACACACTGGGTGTGAAACAACTAATCGTTGGTGTTAACAAAACGGATTCCACTTAGCCACCCTACAGCCAGAAGAGACATGAGAAAATCATTAAGGAAATCAGCACTTACATTAAGAAAATTGGCTACAACCTCGACACAGTAGCATTTGTGTCAATTTCTGGTTGGAATGGTGACAACATGCTGGAGCCAAGTGCTAACATGCCTTGGTTCAAGGGATGGAAGTCGCCCATAAGGGTGGCAATGCCAGTGGAATCACGCTGCTTAAGGCCGTGGACTGCATCCTACCACCAGCTCATCCAACTGACAAGCCCTTGTGCCTGCCTCTCCAGGATGTCTATAAAAATTGGTGGTATCGGTACTGTTCCTGTTGGCCAAGTGGAGACTGGCGTTCTCAAACCTGGTATGGTGGTCACCTTTGCTCCAGTCAACGTTACAACTGAAGTGAAATCTGTTGAAATGCACCATGAAGCTTCGAGTGAAGCTCTTCTGGGGACAATGTGGGCTTCAATGTCAAGAATGTGTCTGTCAAGGATGTTTGTTGTTGCAACGTTGCTGGTGACAGCAAGAATGACCCATCAATGGAAGCGGCTGCTGTCACTGCCCAGGTGATTGTCCTGAACTATCCAGGCCAAATCAGGGCTGGCTATGCCCCCGTACTGCATTGCCACACCGCTCACATTGCATGCAAGTTTGCTGAGCTGAAGGAAAAGATTGACCACCGTTCTGGTAAAAGGCTGGAAGATGGCCCTAAATTCTTGAAGTCTGGTGATGCTGCCATCGTTGATATGGTTCCTGGCTAGCCCATGTGTGTTGAGGGCTTCTCACACTATCCACCTCTCAGTCGCTTTGCTGTTCGTGATATGAGACAGACGGTCGCCGTGGGTGTCATGAAAGCAGTGGACAAGAAGGCCGCTGGAGCTGGCAAAGTCACCCAGTCTGCCCAGAAAGCTCAGAAGGCTAAATGAACATTATCTATAATACCTGCCACCTCAGTCTTAATCAGTGGTGGAGGAAGAATCATCTCAGAACTGTTTGTTTCAATTGGCCATTTAAGTTTAGTAGTAAAAGACTGGTTAATGATAACAATGCATTGTAAAACCTTGAGAAGGAAAGGAAAATGTTTTGTGGACCACTTTGGTTTTCTATTTTGCGTGTGGCAGTTTTAACTTACTAGTTTTTAAAATCAGTCCTTTTTAATGGAAACAACTTGATCAAAAATTTGTCAGGGAATTTTGAGACCCATTAAAAAAGTTTAATGAGAAAAAAAAAAAAGAAGAATATAAGGTCATAATGACATGGGATGGGCCAGTGTGATGGATGTCCAGTATGGCAGGTGTCCTTATGAAAAGAGGACAGACAGGGATGAGGAAAAATGTCACGTGAAGACAGGGGAATAACACAATGCAACTACAAGCCAAGGAATAGCTGAGATCCCCAAAAGCTAAGACAGAAGCGTAGAACAACAGCTCTTCCCTAGGGCCTTCAGCGGGATGGTGGCCCTGCTGGTACCTTGACTTCGGACTTCTGGCCTCCACAACTGCAAGACGACAAATTTCTCTCTTTTCAAACCAGAGAGAGGGAGACTCCTGCTCTGCTAACAGCTGAGTGCAGTAAAAAGGACTGGGTTATCACTACATTTAGGGAAGCTGAGACAGCACTATGGAAGGAAAGAACCAGGAAATCGCCAGGGACAGAGAGGGCGACTGTGTCACCCTCAGATGGCTTCCTTCCTTCAATTGAGGCTTGAAGGAAGTTTTAGAGTTTATCAAGCTGTCTTAGTTCATTTGTGTTGCTATAAAGGAATACCCAAGGATAGGTAATTATAAAGAAAGGAATTTTATTTGGTTCGTGGTTCTGCAGGCTGTCTAAGAAGCATGGTGCCAGCATCTGCTTCTGGTGAAGGCTTCAGGCCACTTCCACTCATGGCAGAAGGCAAAGGGGGGCTGGTGTGGGCGGAGATCACATGGCAAGAGGAAGGATGCAAGAGAGAGGGGAGGGAGATGCCAGGCTCTTTTTAACAACCAGCTCTCTCAGGAACTAATAGCAAGAGCTCACTCACCCCTCTTCTCCTAGGAAAGGCATTCATCTGTTCATGAGGAATGTGCCCCCTGTGACCCAAACACTTACCAGTAGGCCCCACCTCCAATACTGGGGATCAGATTTCAACATGAGGTTTAGAGGGTTGAATATCCAGACTATAGTACAGACAGATCAAGTAGGAAAGGCATTGGCCCCTCAAGAGTTTGGAAATTTTAGGGGTCATTACTGGTGGTCACTGATGGCAGGACAGCTCCAGCATTTGGTGGATGAAGGCCAGATATGTGAGATGTGCTGCTGTGCTATGATTTAATCTTATACAACAAAGAATCATCCTGCATCCAGCATGATGTTTGAATGTCCCACAGGGTACCCATGTAGGTGAAAATGTGGTTATAACTATCTGAACCTAAAACCTAATTCATGTCACATATACACACAAAGCCTACTCTACACAATTTTAATAAAAGCTGCATTTTTCAGAAATATGAATCCTTTATGAATCAAAGGAATATTCTGTTTTGCTATCTTCAGAACGTTGCTTAAAGCAGTTTACCGTCTTGGAAAATCACATTGTGACTATATCATTGCTGGTGGTATTTGTGTGCTCAATGTAATATACCTGAATCAGTCTTGTATCTGTCAATCCCCAGTGATTCTAATCAAACATCTCATTACTTTGTTATATCTTTAAGTATGGTTCTACCAACACATTTAAATAGAGAAATAGGGAGGGATAGCATTAGGACAAATACCTAATGTGTGTGAGCCTCAAAACCTAGATGATGGGTTGATGGGCACAGCAAACCACCATGGCACATGTATACCTATGTAAGAAACCTGCACATTCTGCACATGTATCCCAGAACTTATAGTTAAAAGTACAATAAAATATAAATATAGAGAAATAGATATTTTATTGCATATTACTTGTCTTTTTAAATATTGTAGTGAAAGTATTATACTGAATTATTTTTAATTATGAGTATAGATGGTATATGTTATGCACAACATTTATTTCAATTGTAAAGTGCAGGTTAATGTTATTTAATATATGCCAAGGGGAGCAGGGGTCTGTAAGGATGAGTGTCAGTGAGATAGGCAAAGTAGGGAGGAAGAACCTTTTAGGCAGCACTTCTAGAACTTTAATGTGTACATGAGTCACCAGGGGATCTTGTTCAAATGTGGCTACTGCTTCAGTGGTTCTGGGGTGAAGCCTGAGAGTCTGCATTTCCAACAAGCCCTCAGGTGATGCTGATGCTGCTGGTTCCTGGGTCACATTTTGAGTAGCAAAGTTCTAGACAGAGGGGATTACAGGTGCAAAGGCTTGAAGGTTTGGTAGAGTTTTTCTGGGAAACAACCAGTGACTTGGCATAATCAGAACATAAAATGCAAAGCGTTACATGAGGGTTGATGAGGCAGTCAAGGGAGGCAGGGTCAGAGCACTCAGGACCTGAATCCTGTGTTTGGGCTTCGTTTTGTAGACCATGGAGCACGCTACAATGATTCTAAGTGGAGTTCTATAATTTAGATCTCTCTGCCACCATGTGGGATGGCTTTGCTGGACACGGGGAGTCCATTGAAGAAGCTTTTCCAATTATGTTGCCAAGAAGTAAGAAGGACCTGAACTGAGGAAGCCACAGTAAGAAAGGAGGGAAGAAGATAAGCTTGTTTTTTTAGAGTTCAACTTCCTGAGTGTTGGAGATTGATTGAGTGAACTGTGAAGAGGAAGGAGGTCAAGGATGACTTGTAAGTTCCTGACTTCCTGACTTGTGCACTGGGTGTATGATGATGCCATTGCTCAGCACAGGGAGCACAGAAGGAGATGCAAGCTTGGGAGACAGTTTGGGGAGTCTGGCTTTCAGACACATGAATTTGAGATCCTGTCTTATCAAAAACCAGAAAGATATCTGTTTGGACTTTGATGTTAAGACTTTTATTAAAAGTGTATTGTGATCCATGATAACGAGCATCACTCATATAGATGTGTTCATTTGCCATGCTTCTGTGGATTTCTGAGAGAGTGGAGGGGAACATGTACAATCCCCATAAGCTCGATGGCTGACCAGCACAGGCATTAGGGTGAGAAGAAAAGGAGCAGTACTAACTTTCAAGTACATTAAGTGTTCTCTTTGGGAGGCCGAGGCGGGTGGATCACCTGGAAGTCAGAAATTCCAGACTATCCTGGCCAACATGGTGAGACCCTGTGTCTACTCACAATACAAAAATTAGCTGGGCGTGGTGGTGCATGCCTGTAATTCCATACTTGGGTGGCTGAGTCAGGAGAATTGCTAGAACCTGGGAGGCAGAGGCCGAGATTCGCCACTGCATTCCAACCTGGAAGGCAGAGTGAGGTTCTGTCTCAAAAAAAAAAAAGGGGGGGGGGAAAGTACGTTAAATGTATAATCGGCGAGGTGTCAGAAAGTAGGAGACACAGGTAGAATTAATTTCCTGCTTCCCAGGGTGGTCTGTCTTTCCGTCTCTCTTTGTCTGTCTCACTTACATAACACACACACCACCTACACTGCTGTCTTTGCTATGCCCCTGTTCACAGATGTTTGTAGGGTGGTGAGTTTGAGGTGGTCCTGTGAGACCACAGGTCCCAGGTCATGTATTTAACCATGTCACACTCCACCAACACCATGCTGCTAGTCTTCATTGAGTGCTAGGGGCCAGGTTTTTGTCCACAATCTTAAACAACACAGCTCTAGGAAGAAATTTTATAAATAAGGAAATGGAGGCTTCTAGAGACCAGATAATTTGCCTCAGGTCACGCAGAGAGAAGAAATGTTGAATCTAGCCTGATCCTATTTCTTTTCTCTCGGAGGCTACAATTCATTTCCTCTAACCTCTCCCAGTTCTACCGAAGTAAAGCTGTCTGTCAAATGCAGCATGCTGGTTCACACCTCTGCACCTCAGAGTACTTCTGCTAGGAATCCTCGTCTCTGATATTTAACTGCCAAAGTCCTACCCAGTAATCACCACATCTGTGAAGATGCCTCTAAGCCTCCTGACTTGATGCCCAGTATGTATTTCCCGTCTTGCACATACCACGCTGCACTGTCACCATGTGTTTCCAAGTCCCTTTCTCTCTCAAGGCTGTGGGCTCCTGAAGGGCAGGGCTCATGTCTTAGTCCTCTTGCATTGTTGAGCCTGGTCCAATAAAGACTTTTGAAGTGAACTGGTGTGCAGAGGCATTAGTGGGTTCTCTGTCAATTTCATGGATTGTAATAATGCCTGGAAAGTATAAGCCAGTTTCTAAAGAAAGTCAATGTTAGCAATGGACAAAAAAGTGGCTTGGAGAATCATAATCTTTTAACACATTATTTACATATACAACTTTTTATTTAAAAAATCAGGTTTCACAATGGACTCCCTTCCTCCTCCCTCCTGTCATCCCTCACCAGTAATATTAGGCTTAATTATTTAAATTAATTTAGTGGGAGTCAATATTTAATTTAAAGTATAATTTTTATTAGGATTTTAATAAATAACATTTAATAACTAACAATGACACTTCAGTATATAAGAACACTTAATTCTTAACATTATTAATTTTTAAATAGAACCTAATGGAAACAATTACGCCACACAGAAATCTACACCTTGAATTAGAATTCAAGTCTGAATTCTAATTCTTATCCTTGGTTCTCTTTGTATTGCTCATGTCTGCTGCTTTCTTTCTCTCTTTTCCTATTATTTCTTGAGTGGGTTTTGTGTGAAAGAAGATGGACTTCCTTCAGGCCTACAATAAAGTGAAGTGACATTGACTTAAGAAAAATAAAATATAATTTATTTTAATATACAAGAAGATGTAAAATGCCTACAAATGAGCAGATTTGGGTTTGAACATTCAACTTCATCATTCACATGCTACATTATGCTGTAGTGTGTGTTTATCATAAATTTTCAAGTATTTTAAAAACACGTAAAGTGCTGTTTTCTGACTTTTGTAATTCAGATAACATTCTGGAATAGGACACACACACACACACACACACACACACACACACACCCATATCTCCCTAAAGTGACTGCATTAATTAGGATCTTTAGGGAATAGTCACCCAGATAACCACAAGTAATATAAGTTTATTGTAAGATCATGTTTCTCAAACTGAGGTGGCCAGATCTCAAGGGATTACATGGCATTAGCCAAAAATTACGGGAACTAACTGAAACAAAAAACATGGCATGTGTCTCTAAATTATCCATTTTAAATGAATGAAACATTTTTAATAAAAAATAATACTGATCTCTTAAGGAGGAAAATGCACATGGAATTTTGAAGATGAAAACAACGTGAGACTGCAGAGAAATGTTGAGCTTGTGATAAGCCTCTTGGGCTATGTCCCAGACTGCTAGTAGTACTAAAACCTTCCTTTCTTTCATTTAGTAGAAAAGTCAGAAAAGTGTCGTGTAAGATTCACATAGAAATAAGGACAATCACAAGAGTTGCACAAGAGTTGATATTGGAGACTGGAATGCTACTCAAAGAACAGAATTCCCCCAAACATCCAAGATGGTCCTGAGCAACTGAATTATCTTAACATCAGCTTAGCAGTAGAGTGCCGTTAGGTAACTCTGGTAAGTGTATACGTGTAATCTGCTTCAATAGTCCTATTCCCACCAGCCAACTGCCCTTCCCACCTTTTATTAGCTTTTTGTTACAGCTGTCTCATAGCTTTTGCCCACTTCTAATTTCAGTATACGCAATGGCTTTTCACAACATCTACAGCTGACTTTCTCTCTGGGTATCTTCTGTTTCTGCTCCATCTTCCTAATGCTCAAACCAATTAATGTAATGGTTTACATTTAATGGTAATACATTAAATGTAAAAACAAACAAACAAACAAACAAAAAAACCACCCAAAGAGGGCATATCATTCCTTCAGTTTATTTTGACACAGATTTTGTGCCATGCTATTCATAAAGCACCAGCCAGAATACATGTTGTTTGCCTTTGAGCTCACTTCCCACTTTTGGCAAGGCTGGCTGTTGTTCTGTAGCAGGATAACATAGCTGAAGAATTGAGGTATGTCAGCTTAAGGATTCACCATGGTCGGGCTCCTCTGCAGAAGACCAAGGAAGTGTGTCATGGGCATTCTGACCCTTACCCTCTTCAGAATAGCCCCACTAACATGTCAGAAACTGATTCCTTTCGAAGGATAAACAAATGGTATAACCAGAAAAGGCTTTGAAGGCTTTGCAACGAACCCCAAATTATAAGTAGTTACATAGAAATTTAAAGAACGGAATCTCTGTTTGGATAGATGTCCTTTGTAATGCAGGTATCCTTTTTTATTTATTGTCCTTTCCTTTTTTTTTTTTTTAAGTTTTGTATTTCAGTCACAGTGGTTTCAGTTACACATACCTCTCAGTTCATATTCCACCATTGCTACTGGTACATACAAAGCCTCCTTAGTCCTTTAGTGCTACTGTAACAAAATAACAATGTCTAGGTAATTTATAAAGAACAGAATTTTATTTCTCTCAGTCCTGGAGGCTGGGAGTCCGGGATACAGAGTCCAGCAGGTTTGGTGTCTGGTAAGAACTTGGTCTCTGTTTCCAAGATGGTGCCTGTTGCTTTGTCCTCTGGAGGGGATAATGCTGTGTCCCCACATGGTGGAAGGGGTGGGAGAACAAAAGGGTGCTTCCTCCAACCTTGAGGTCTAAAGGGCCTAATGCTAATACCAGCTTTTAGGACGAAGCCCTCATGACTTAACTACCTCTTAAAGGCCATGCTTCTTAATACTGTTGCACGGGGGGGCATGAAAACATTTAAGCCCTAGCACCTCCCTTGATTGGTTGATTGATTGGAATCCTTTTCACAATCTCTGATAGGGTTTTAACCTACTGCCGGAACTTACTAGCTCATAATGGCAACAACTGATTTCATATATTGAACTTGCTACTTCTTAGGTCATTGTTTCATACGTTAAACCAAAAATAACTTTCCCCTAATGTCTGCAGTTCTTTCTTGCAGAATCATAGAGAAAATGTCTATTTCTTCCCTCAACACAATAGCCTTTCAACCCTATAAGGTTGGCTATTAATATACCTGAGCCTTCACTCTTCTATGTGAAACACATTTTGTTATTTCATCAATTCTTCATATGATGTGAATTTAAGGCACTTTACTACCTAGTCACTTTCCCTCAGACACACTCTAGTTTGATAATTTCTTTTTAAAAATATACATATCAAATATTTTAAATATGCTCTGCCAATGCAGAACATGATGGGTGCAACCTTGCCCCTCCCTTCCCTAGTTTTGGTTTTTATAAATGTATCCTAAAATTTGTGTCAGTCTTTTTGGAAATAATATCGCATTTTTGACTCTCATTGAACTTCAAATTTTTTTCAAGTGAACTCCTGTCAATTCAGAGCTTTCCTACCTTATATTTAAGTAGTTGATTCTTTGAACTTAGATGCAGAACTTAACATTTAACACTATTAAATTGTATATAGTTAATTTCATTCCATCCTTCTCCTTTTCCAAGGTCTTTTCAAATTCGATTCTTTAATATTGTTTATCAGCTTTACCGCCAACTTTTAGTCATGTAAAACTTGATAGGCAAAGTTTTTATTGGAATTCACCCAATTCACTTATTAAGATGTTTACGATTTTAGACTAGAAGACAAAGAATCACTTTTAGTAGTGGCTCTCAATTTTTGTGTACAAAATAATTAACTAGGACATTTGCTAAATTTGCAGGCCCCTAAGTCCCATTTCTAGAAATTTTGATTTAATAAGTCTGGGATGTGATTCCGGGAATGTGCATTTTTAACTAGCACCACATTTGATCCTGATGCTTTTTGTCCTTGGCCACGCCTTTAGAAATATCTTCAAAATTTTCCTTTTGGTCTAAATTGACATTAACATGTTCATTAATTGTAATAGAGTGCTGTGTCTTCTTAGCACAGTGCTGGACACATGATTAATACTGAAGGAATGACTGAACCAAAGAAAGAATGAAGGGTGGAAGCAGTGTTCAGCTAATAATTCAGCTGTATGTATTCATTTTTGTCACAAAGCCAATATGATCAGCTTTTTAGTGCTTTGTTGTAATTGAATTATATTATGTCTTTGATGTTCCGCACTGGGGGAAAAAAAGAGACGTATTTTGTGTGACCTTTTCTTAATGAACATATGTTGTCTCTTAGTGATCATTGCTTTCCTTTCTAAGTGCTCACAAATCATGTGTTTAATTCTGCTGTCTAGAATTTCATTGAGAATTAAAAGGTGTATCATATTTAAACCTGGAAATCTCCCTTTATGAGCTCTTGCTTTACTTTAAGAAATTAGGGCACAGGCATAGTGTTTTACTTATTTACTATGCTTTAGGCTATGTTAGTTCTTTCATGTCTTAATATGTTTGCAGATAAATAAGAACCCAAGTACTGGACACTTTGACAAAAAAAAAAAATTCTTACTTTTTCCTAGAATTTATACTTATAAAAACTTTCAAAATCTACAGAAAGACTCAAAGAATATTACAATGTTCTTAATCTAGGGCAACAATTGTTAGCATTTTGCTGTATTTTTTTTTTATATCTAGCAAGATATATAGCTAGCTAGATTTTCCCTTCCCCTGTCTCCTGAACCAGTCATTTAGTCTCCTTTAGTCCAGAACAATTTCTCTGCACTGCTTTCTGCTTTTCAGGATGGATGCCTGAATTCTCTGATTATACTTCTTGGTTTTGTCTGTCTGTTTAGTTTAGTTTTGGCTTTTGAACCATGTGACATTTTACATGTTCAAAAAATAAAATTAAAGAGGATTAAAAATAGTAAATTTTAAAATTTGCTCCTAAAGGAGAACTGGGCTGGTATATCACAGTGTTCATCACCAATTTTAGGGAAACCAGAGAAGGCTGATCCAAAGTACAGAGGAGAAGGAAGGAAGGCTGGGTGGAAGAATACTAGACCACTCTGAAGGTTCAGGAAAACTCAGCAAGGTCATCAGGGACTTCTCCAGATAAAAAGCAGCTATCAGATCAGTCCCCTGCTCCCAGCAAGAGGCCTGCCCCAGTAATCCCGCTGGCTCTGTTACCAGCTGAGAGCAGCCAGGGCAAGGCGCCGCCCACGCGGTGCAATGCAGCCATGGATTTCAGATCTCAGCCGGGGGTCTGTGGGAGGTGACTCTCAGGGCTGTCAAGTCAGGGTCCAGCCCCTTTCAGAGGGTGGCCGTCTTTTGATTGATTGCAGGGGACCCATCTGTAGCCCCAACTCAGGAAAGTTGTGGTGGGTCCCCACTGAGGCTCTGTCAAGACTTCATCACAGCTCGACCTCTTGCTCTGCTCTGCTCAGTCCTGCTTCCTTCCCTTCGCTGGACCCATCTGTAGCCCCAACTCAGGAAAGTTGTGGTGGGTCCCCACTGAGGCTCTGTCAAGACTTCATCACAGCTCGACCTCTTGCTCTGCTCTGCTCAGTCCTGCTTCCTTCCCTTCGCTGCCCCTGTGGCTGATTTTAAGTGCACCCTCTAATAAGCCGCCTGCGTGCCCACCTGCCAGCACTGCTCCAAGCTCTTATTACCCTGTTAACACCTATGCAATCCTCACAACGCTGAGGTGGGTGCTGTTAGCATCTTCATTTTATGCATAAGGAAGCTAAGGAACAGAAACTGGCTAAGTGGCTGCCCGAAGGTATTCATGCCCCTGGGAGGTAGCAAAGGCTTGCCTCAAACATAGGCATGCTGACTCCCTGCCGCCCCCTTACCTGCCACTCACTGCTCTTCTCCGTGACACAGAGATTGCTGTTAGCATACCCAGTATCGCAGTCCTATTATATTTTCCAGATGCTTTCCTAAGCAAATACCAGAAAAACTTCCCGGAGATTCAGCGTAGGAGGAGATCTGCCCTGATTGTGTGAAGGCAGTTCCAACCTGAATCTATTTATCCGCAGGGCCTTAGCTCCAGCCCGGAGAACTGGCTTCACCCTCTAAGCTGCATTCCCCAGCACTCAGTTTTTCTCTGGCAACGTGATACACCTGCCACTACCATTCTGCAAAAGGAAGGAATATGTACAGCACAAATAACAAAGTGAGAAATAAATACTCTCCTCTTCCCTAAGACAAGAGCTAGTTCTTGCTTCCTGACCTATTTGAGTGCGTATTCAGAGCTTGCATGACGCAGCTAAACTAGCCTATTTAGCATTTATGCATCTGCTCGGTGCTCCGCAAGCTCTTTAAGATGTGGCATTTAAAAATCTTCATAACGCAAGGTCACAATAGCCATTTCTATAGGGAGACTGAGGAATTATCAAGACTACAGTTGGAATTTAGGGTGGGGAAGTCCTTCCACTCCGATGAGCTTCTCAGGCGTTGGAAGGATAGCCAATTGTCCTAGTTTTCCTTGGGGCTAAGTTTCCCAGGATGTGGGACTTTCTTCCCTGAAACTGGGAGAGTCACAGGTAAAGGGCAACAATTGGTCACCCTACAATGGGCTTTATGGCCCACATTGCTATGTTACAGAAATGCCTGCCGCTCTACTGTAACTACTTTGTATTATTATTTTTTAAATGCTTTTTTTTTAATTAATCTAGGAAATTCCTTATAGAAACTATGGAGATAAACAAAGGAAAAACTAAAAACCACTCAGTAGCTCATTATGCAGAGGTCACTCTTTAAACCTTTCAACATCTTCTGTGGTTTTTTTTTTTTTTTTTTTGCATTTGTATATGTGTACACATATATTTTATACATCTAAAAATGTGCAGTAAGAACCATTCTGTATGCTGATTTTCACTTAGTGTAAGCATTTTCCCGTATCAGTAAGTATTTTTGAAAACGCCATTGAGATTGATTGAGTAATTGCCATTGAGGATGTCCTATATTTAACCATTTTCTTATTGTTCAGCATTTAAACTAAGTTTTGCTGTTAAAGATAATTTTGCTGTGAACATCTTTGGGTTTCTAATGGTTTCTTTTGGAGTGGTTTCTAGGACCTTCCTGGATGAAAAGTTATGGGCTTAGTTAAAGCTACTGAATCCTATTTCTAAAATGCTTCTGGAAAAGGCTGTAAGTCAGCAGTGTTTAATGCTCACTCCACTGAACTCCTGCCAGCACTGAGAATTTTTTCAATCTTCACTAATATTATGAGTTTTTAAAACATGTTATCCTAGACAAGCTTCACTTCTTTGTTTACGAAGGAAGTCCGAACCTCTTTCATATCTTTCTCATTTGAATTTTCCTGAAATTATTTGTGCATATATTTTTCCAGATTATTTATTGAGTTTTAATGTCTTGCTTCTCAACTTATATGACCTCTTTACACACGACAATAAATCTTTTTAGGTAATAATTGTTTCAAATACTTTTTTTGACTCACTGTTTGACAGATATCTTAAAAATACTGACCCTCAAAATGTTTAGATGTTTATAATCTTTAAGCAATATTTTAAGACCTGCCGTCATATACACACACATTTGGTGGAGGTTTATGCTTTCTTTAAAAGCCTCTTATTTTTTTTCACTTTTAGCCCCTCTGTGCTGACTTAAAATTATTTGGTAATATTTGAAAAGAATATGTGTAACATATACGTAATCATAAAGAGAAAAGGTAAAACAAAAGTACATGAATACATTAATCCACCATCCAACTTAAGGACTAGAACATACCTAGTTCACATACTGGAACATACACTCCATGTTCCTCCCCAATCTCAGAGCCCTAACTTTCCCAACATGGAATTATCATCCTGCCTTTGCCTTTGTTATTTGATTGCCTTTTAAAAACTAGTTTTATTATATATATGTTTGTGCCTGTAAGCATATGTTTAGTTTTAATATTTTTGAGCTTTACAAAAATAGATTCTTCTTTTATCTCTTCATCTCAGTCTTGCTTTTTTTCAGTAAGTACTATGTAGTTTTATCCATCTTTTATGGGAAGATGTAGTTCATTCATTTTCAGTACTGGATAATATTTTAGTTCATTTCTCAGGTATGTATGTATTCATGGTGCATATGTACAAGAATTTCTTCTAGAGAAATAGCATATTACATTATATTCTTATTACATATATTATGTGGGAGTGGACTTGCTGGGTTGAAGTGGATGTGCATGTTCAATTTTACAAGCCATTGCTAAATTGTTTTCCCGAATGGCTGTACTAATTACATTCCCAACTGTAGAATCTAAGATTCCTGTTGCTTGACTTTCTTGCCAATACTTTGATATTTTCAAGTATGGAAATCTGGTAGCCATTTTTCACCCAGTAGATTTACACTGATTTTTAAGGCTTATTGGTCCAAGTTCTTAAAGTCTGAAAAGTAGTTATCAAAAACAAATCAAACATCTTTTTATTTGGGCTTCTCATTTCTCCTAGGGTCGGACACTTAACAAGCTGTTCATAGTATGTCATGCTGGGCCTAATGTTCATCCCTTAGAAGAAAAGGCTGTATCAGCTGGGACAAGTGAACAGCAGACAGAGTTAGGAATTAGGAAGCTTGGGCTCTAACCTGCTTCTGTCACCGAAGCTTTGCAGGGCCCGCGTGTGAGTCATGTCCCCGCTTCGCATCCTGTCTGCTCACTAGGCATAACAGAGCTGACCTTCTTCCCAGCCCCGCCGTGAGGATGAAATCCTGTTGTGGAGCACTTTGAAATCTTTGGATGAAAAGCACGAAAGAAGTGCCAAGTATGATTGTTACCCGTGCCAGCCACACTAGAAGACAGCATAAAAATAGGAAGCAAAGAAAATTCCATTTTACAAAAGCTTCAGTGAGAAAATTGGCTGGTCAGAATGTCATTCCCTGGTTTTGGTTCACATACACGTTGGCTTTTATAAAATTAAAAGAAAAAAATAATTGTACACATTTTTGTCTTTGCCGGGAAGAAGCCTTTTGATCACCATCCCTGTGCTGCCAGGTGCGTCACTGATGCAGAAGGAAGATCGATACATGAGGAGACCCTGTGGAATCAGTTCTTTGTAGTTGCTCCCCAATTTCTGTTTTTCATTGCAAGAAATTGAAGCCATAAAGTCTGAGGGAATGTTACAGGTTGAGGATTAGGGTGTCTAAACCTTGGCATCGTCACAATGTAGGATCTGAGACACCTTCAGCTGAAACAGAGACTGTGCTTTCAGAACTGGCCCAGCACCAAACCTCTACTCCAATGCTCTCAGATCCTCCATCCTGCCCGTAACAGGAGAACATGAGAGTTGCAGATTTAAAAACCTAACAGGGAACCTTTGCAACAACCTTTGTCATATTAGGAATCCCAAAATAAGGCGAGTCATGCCCGTTAGTGTGTGCCTCCATCCTAAAAATGACTTAGCTGTAGTTTTAATAGCTTATATCCATCTTGGCGTAATGCTGATAGTTGTGATGAGCTGTAATCACCTCTCCTTATAAATTGGATAGACTGTGGAAACAGTTCCAAACCACAGAAAAGACATTTCAAACTCTGAGCTTGCTGCCTGATATGACACTCAGAGATTTAGAATAGGAGCTTTGGATGCTGTTTCCATGTCTTTACTGCCTGTCTTTTATACTGGAGTTTTAAAAAGTCAAAACCCAACAGGGTGGTTTGGCTGCTGCACCCCACTGAGAAGCTGAGAAAGTAAAAGGTAAGGGGGTGTAGCCATGGGCTTGTAAGGGGGACGTGAGTGACACAAGTCCACCCACAGCAACTGTTCCATTAAGTTATGAATCATATTGTACTCGACTTGTAATTTCCACCCAGGAAGGGAAAGCTACTGAGCACTATTGAAATGTTTTGTTCAGAAATTTCTCAGAGGGAGGGTCCTCATAGTGTTTTGTGGAATAATTTGCATTCTAATCGGCATAATTAGATTATTGCCATAGAATTCCCATTGTATGACTCCAGTAGAAATACTTTTCATTAAGAAACAAATACTCTTTTGGGGGGAAAAATGTCCATCTACTGTAGTATCCAGTCACAGGACAATCTCTATTTATTCCTCTTCATAACCCCATGAGAAGGGTCATCCTCACTGGATTGTCAACTGTTTAACTGAAGAAATGAGTTGAAAAGTGGAAATACAACCTAGTGATAGTTTCTTCATCTGTCCACACCTAGTAATGGGTTTGACTGATTCTTCTATTTACATTGACAGATTATTTACACCTCTGTGAATTATACTGTTCCTATGGTCTTTCTTTCCTTTAATTTTTCTTTTGTGTGTGTGTGTGGTTAGAACTGTCTGTAGTCAGGCTAAAATTCAGATCCCATCTTTATAATTCTTATTTGTGTGATATGAATTTCTCACAATGGCAGGATAGTGGATTATCATGCAGCCTTGAAATATCACACCAATTAAGACAGTGGAGAGCCATAGGGAAATGTGAAGTGGAAAAGAGTATGAAATTATATCTGCGCCATACTTTCCAAATGCTTAAATTGTGCATATAGAAGCATGGGCTGAAAAGGAAACATGGAAAAAGAAACAGATGGTTGGTTGAAATGAAGGGATTATGAGAGTCCCCTCTCTACCTTTTTATTATTTTGTTTTTCATTAACACTCTTACAACATTGCTTGTGTAATAAACATGATTGTAAAATTATTCAGCTGGGTGATTAACAGTAGCTGAGATATGAAATCTACTTCAGTGTCCATCAACAGATGAATGGATAAAGAACATGTGGTATATATACATGTTGGAATATTATTCAGCCATAAAAAAGAATGAAACCTGTCATTTGCAGTATCATCAATGAGTCTGGAGGACATTATGTTCAGTGAAATAAACCAAGCACAGAAAGACACATACCACATTACCTCACTCATATGTGGAATCCAAAAAGTTGATCTCATGGAAATAGAGTAGACTAGTGTTACCAGAGGCTGGGAAGGATAGGTTGGGGAATGGGGAGAAATCGGTGAAAGGGTACAAAGTTACAATTAGGCAGGAAGAAGTTAGATGGGAGTGAGGTAGCAGTTGTAGTCTGGATGCAGTGGCTCACACCTGTAATCCTCGAACTTCAGGTGGCTAAGGTGGGCAGATGGCATGAACCCAGGAGTTTGGGACCAGCCTGGGCAACATAGCAAAACCCCATCTCTACAAAAATTTAAAAAATGAGCCAAGCATGGTGGCACGTGCTACTCAGATGGCTGGGGTGGGAGGATCACCTGAGCCTGGGAAGGTCCAGGCTGCAGTGAGTCATGATCGCACCACTGCACTCCAGCCTGGGTGACAGACTTAAGTGTTTTTGAAACCCCATCTCAAAAAAATAAAAATAAAAAATAACAGTAGTTACGTTAGATAAATTCTAGTGTTCCATCGCACAGTAGGGTGACTATAGTTAATAATAATTTATTGTGTATTTCAAAACAGCTAGAAGAGAGGAATTTGAATGTGCCAAACACAAAAAAATGATAAATGTTTGAGATGATGGATATGCTAAATACTCTTATTTGATCATTAAACATCATATTACAGGTATGGAAACATCACATGTACACCATAGAGATGTACAATTATTATGTATCAATTAAAAATAAAAGAATAAAATTATATTTCAAAAAAGTACTTGGTTACAAGAGAACATCTTTCATAAAATGATTAAAATGTGAGTTACAGATCCTTTCCCATGCAGGGCACCTGTGAGAGCCTGGGTTGCTAAGAGTGATAGAGTTCCAGGTGGGGAGAGGAAGCCGGGTTACAATCAGGAAACATGTCTATGTCAGCATTTCTGGTAAATTGCTT